AGGTGGGATTTTGTGGCTCCTCTAGAGGCCATAGCCCCTTCACGTAACACTCGGCGCTTTGAGTAATAACTGCTTGTCCTCTTTCCCAGCCTAGACTGGATTTAACTTCATTCTCTAGGATCTTCTAACTTCCGGTTTATGTGAATTGGGTTACTTACTAATGAATTTCATTTAAGTGCCTTGCAAGTGAAATCGTGCTGCAGCACGGCTCGCCCGCCCTGCTTCCCCGTGGTACAAACTAATTGGTATTGACAAGATTACTCTGGTGCGTTATGTGTTTTTAATGGAGCTGGCTAAGATGGTTTCCTCTCCAGCAGTTTAGCTTCCTTTCCTTTCAGTGGGCTATAAGCTATCTGCTGTGATTGCCTCAATTTTTGACTTTCAGAGAAATTGGTGTTTAAAGCTTGAAATTGTTGTTTATAGCTGCTATGGTATTCTTTTGCTCTGGTCTGACTTTTCCCGGTTCTCATTGCACAGTGAATCCTGTTTCTGTGCACTTCTGAAGAGTGGTTCCTGTATCCAGATGATCTTTTCCCCAGAACAGGGGTGTCTGATTACCCGGTTCTTGTTCTTTATCCCCTCGGATGTCCTGTCGTAACAGTTGGTTCACATACGTCTGTAGACAGAGAGGTGCTTGCTATATGAAGGAGTATTTCTGAACTGTAGAAAGTTGTGCAACTTCTGTGTGAGACGAATATGTACATTAAGCATTCCTTCTTTGAAACATCCAGAAAATTAGCTTGCACCAGGTTTTCCCCTATTTCTGACGTTAAAAAAAGGCCTAAAGACAGAACAAAGATCAGGAAATAAAGGTTCCTCAATTGACAGAGAAAAGCCATTTCAGGTAGAGTTTAGGAATGTAGGTGGATATGTCTCTGGGCAAGTCTCGGATACTTTGAGCGTTCCCTGTTGAGGCTGCTTTTAAAACACCCTCGGTGACCTCCCCGTCCACCGGAGCCACTCCAGCGCTGTGCCACTGCGTGCTCCCCGAGTGGAGCGTTGCTGCAGTGTCCGTGTGTTATTTTATTACTAGGAACACTATTGCTGCCAACTAGTCGCAGGGGATGACAGTTTATAATGTTGTCTTGTGTGTGGCCCTGATCCCTGCCCCACACCCCCCTCTTGTATTTTGTTTCTCTTGAATTTTTGGGGTTGGTATTTATCTCAGTTCAGCTTCTCTGCTAGACTTGAAAAGCTGATGTTATTGTAGAAGTGCTGAACTGTTTAAAAAAAACTGCTGTGCATCGCTGTGGAACTCTGATTAAAAGAAATAACTTTCATTTTCTGTGTTTATGTTCCAAGCACAGCAGTGATAGAATCACTGCTAGTTTTGTATATGCCTGTTAACCAAATGAAAGGAAGGATTCAATGGAGTGATTAGTTTTCAATTTAGGCTTTTAAAACTATTGTCTGATGCTTTTTGCAGCCTGGTTACTGAGGGGGATATCCAGGTTTTGGTTATTTTTAGTTCTGTCTTGATTGGGACACTCTTTTCAGATACTGAATCCAGGAAAAGCAGGATATTTGAGGAGAACTTAGAAGAGAAGATACTGTGTCCTTAGAAAGCTTTTGCAATTCACAAACCGCAACATCTAATGACTAAATTTGTTGTTAAAGCTCAAATAGCACCAAAATCTCAGAAAATAGTATAAACAGTGTGATCCTAAGAGGATTAGAAGAAAAACATGAGTGCACAAGTTCACATGAGGAGCAAAAGCGATTCAAAGCTCACGCAGAAAATACTGTTTTAGCCATAGCATGAAGCCAGTGTAGTTCCTTGTGTAATGGATGGATGGGAGAACATAGTATAAATGCCAGGGTTTCTAGAAGAAAATGGTTAAGTGTTTTTGCAGATAACTTTTAGAGAAATCCTTGGTTTGAACCGATTATGTTAGGGAAACAGGTAAGGAATAACATTGGCGTATATCTGTCCTGTGTGTTCCTAACCAGGTTTGTGGCTCTGCAGTGCCACAGCTTTTATCTGTGGTTTTGTCTTTGTAGCACACGGTTATTACTCGGTTGATAGCAGCAGCCCAGCCCGTGCTAGCAGTGTGGACTGGTATTTGCTTTTTTTGGTGGCTGGCGTGGCGTCTTAGTTTTGGCCCTGCCGATGGGGACGACGTGTCTCGTGCAGCTGGTTTGCCTGGACCTTTTTGCCACCTCTGTGCGCAAGCAGGTCTCAAGAGTTTATGGCTTCAGGTGTTGCTGCCGCTCTGTGCGCTGCAGCGGGATGCTCTTCCCAAGGAGGTGATGTTGGGTGTTGTACCAAGCGTTTGGGCATGATGTCACGGCGGGACGCAGGCATCGGGGGTGTCGTTCTCATGCAGAAAAACCCAGTGTGGGCAAAGCTGGTGAGCGCTGGCTGGGAGCAGGTTGGTACACATGCAGCACAATCTTATTTCTTTAAGTCGAGGGGAGCAGTATTCAGTCAATGCTGAAGGCTTTAGTCATCAGTCAGTGGTCAACCCTGCAGCCCTCCTGAGGTGAAGGATCCAAACTCACAAGCTATTGTGCGTTCCCCAGGTGTGCTTTATCAACTTCAGGGGCATCTGGTGGATTATTTTTAAGTGTCACATAGTGTAGCTGTTACTACACCTAGTCAGTGGTTTAAATGGCCATAACAGGTTGGTATATAAAGGCGAGAGATAGTCTAAAATCAATAAATTATAGCTGACACCTGCATTGTTTCAAGGTGCATGCCAAAATGGCAAAATTCAGTAGGATAAATTTGGAAAGAAAAATGCTGCTGATGAGGTGTTTGTACTCAGTGCTTGATTCTGAAGAAGGACATCGCAGAGCTTTCAAAATGTTTGCGTGTCATTTCAAGCGCTCTTATTTAAAACTGGAGCCCACAACCAATTAACATGAGTGAGGAATGAAGCGGAGTCAGTGAACCCTTTCTTTTCTCATTCTCTGCTCTCTTGAGTCTTTGCTTCCAGCTTCTTTCCGTGTCACTGCCCTGTTTAGATATAAAATGAAGGACAAGAAGCCTCTTCCACGGATCAGACAGAAAGGTTTCCCTCTCTGGCTTCGACGATAAGTACAGCACTCAGAAGATTGCACAAGGCCAAAGGGGTGTTGGAAGGAGACAGTTTGGGCAGTGTATACTGAAGAAAGCCTTTTGTCATTGAAGAAAATGGTTTATGTTTGTGCAGTCATCCTTTTATTTATATTTGCCATGCTCCTTCCCAAATGCAGTAACGCAAACCAAGCGGCACGCTCAGAACGGGGCAGGAGAGCCCTCCTCTGCCTTTCTCTGCACACAGCTTCTATCATGATTTAATCAGCTCTCAGAAGAGAAGTGCAAATATTGGTTGGTTGGTTTGTTGTTCTGTTTTTAAGGAAAACTCTTGTTATAAGCAAGTAATGTTTGTGTATGGGGTCTGCTGAGCGAGGTGATAAAGCTTTCTCTCCTCTGCCACTCTGGCTGTAGGAAAAACAAGCTTTCTGAGTAGCTCCCCATAGGAAATGGTGCCACTTGAGGAGCAGAGTTTTCCTCAGCCTGTTTACATGATTTCTGCGGCACCAGTACGAAGAAGCAAGGAAACAAGAGCATGTTTGCAAATTCTTTCGATTCCCAGCATTCTTCAGCATCCTCTGCATCGCCTCTCGCTTGTACTGTGAAGGGTACGCTTCCGCTTGCCTCGGTGCTGCGGTGGGATCTTCTGAGAAGAAAATAAGCCCGACTGCAGCAGCTTGTTTTCTGTCTGGGTCTGCGATTGCCTTTATAATAAACCATTTCCTACTGGCTGAGCTTGGAAATTGCACATGAGAACTTTGTGGTGTTCGTGAGCCCCGAAAACCATAGTTACTCTTTACTCATAGTGAAAGTTTTTGAACACAGTTTACAGATGCTGTGTAAACAGTTTAATCTAAAAATAGTCGGATAATACTTTATTAGTCACCCATGTCCATCTGTCCATGAGTGGGCGATTAGATTATTTCCTAACAAGAAGAGTAGTCTGGCAGGCATTTGTGTGGAGAGCAACTACTCACAAATATTATTGTGAATGAAAATCATTTGTCATTAATGAATAAAAATGGGAATTACTCTGCATGGAGCTAACACATACTTGGACGTAGAAAAGTGTTTGCTTATATTTAACTATTTTATTGTTAGATGCATAAAATTATTATTGATATGTAAAGAACATTATTAAAATGTAGGAGAAGATGGATTTTTTTTACTGTGTTTTGTTTGGTTTTTGAAGGTGGGAAAGACTTCTCTTGAAAATTGCACTAGGAAGATTTCTGTTCTGTACACTTTGTCACATGTAGCCAGCAACTAGTATGAGCTGTTTGTTTAAATTACTGGGGTCACTGCAGGAGTTGGTGACTATCTGGGTGCATGGGCACATCTGTGTACATAAACGGAGTTGTTTAGTGCAACATGTGTTAGGTAAACAGAATTCTCTTTTATTTTACTACTTTTCAGTGGATGTAACCATTTTGGAAGTCAAACCACTGGAATGTTGATTTTTGTTTGGGGCTTTGCAGAGCATTTAGAAGTCGGTAGCTGAGGTTTATTTCCAGAAGAAATTTGGCATGGGCAGAAGATACTCTGCCTAGCTAACTTCCCAAAGCCGTTTCTGGAGAGCTAAGGCAAAACCCAGACATCAGGACTTTCCTACACATGTTATTTTGTTTGTGTACGCTCTTGCTGAATGGGTGCGACTGTCTAGAGGTCTGATGGTGTAAGTATTCATTCAGCAGGCTTATTGGTTCAAAGGTCTGTGCTCCGGGCTCCCCGCAGGAGCAGTTCGTGTGATGTGGGTAGCGACAGGATACGTGCAAATCCCCAGCTCTGCCTGCTCTCCTGTGCCCGACCGCTGCAGCTCTAGGCTGTGCACAAATTCAGTGGCGATCACTCAGCTCCTTGAACAGAGTAGGCTGCAAGAGCCGTGCAGGCCCATACGCGATAACTTTTTATTGTGTTAACACCACCGTTTTCGAAATTCTAAATATTAATGATTCCTATTTTGTCTCTTTATTTCCTTGTCAGCATCACCCTTCTGTGGCAAGAGGCACCTGAAAGGAAAACTTCTGCATATCAATGCACTGCCAATGGTAAGTACCTTTTTAACTGACTAAAAGTGGTGCGGTTCCTTCCTGCAGATATGCCGTAAGCAGACTTCTATTGCAAATAGTATGTTTAGAATAACTACTTTTTAGTACATAAGTGGATTATTTTAAAATTTTAAGAAACATATAGACCATTATTCTATTTGACAAAAATACTACAGTTGTATCTGGATTTTATGCCGTGGCAGCGTGTTAATTTTGAAGCACGAATTGTTGACAATAACAGAGCTCATCCTCTTGGTAGCTGGTTTTGCTTCCTCTTCTGGCCAAAAGCCTGTGTGGGGCAAGCTGTAGCTGGGCTGAGTGCTCTGTTGTCCCCACTTGGGTGCTCTCTGCAGTTTGTTTCAATACTAATGGCATCTCCCATGAAAAGCCCACGCAGTGCCAGTTGTATTTTGCTTCAGTGCATTTGACAGCATAAGACTAGTAAAGTTAAAACCTTAGTTCCTATAGAAAGGGGCTTGGTTGATGCGATCTTCTTATTCCATCTCTGGAATGTTATTCCGTGTTAGAGGCTATTGGAAGTTTGTATTTGCAGACTGTCTTTATGGTTTACTTATGGAAAGCAGAGGTGAGGTTGGAAAAGAATATACAGCTGCAGCTTTGATGAAATCTTTTTTCAGCAGTTTTGGTATCTTGTGTTGTCTCTGTTGAGGTGTACTATAAGAATGGTAATTGCAGCATTAGCCTTAAGAAATAAATGCATAAAGTGCCAGCCTGAGTTTTGTATTTCAAGCATCTCGAGATCATTTGCTCAGTACAGAGGTTAAAGGGATAGTATTACTAACCACTGGCTTTGAAAACTCAATTTGGGATCCAAGAGCTGAGCTGGGTTCCTTTGGTTTGCATGTGGGTATGGATCTAAAGAATATGTAAATAAACTATAGTCTCTCTTATACCTTTGCAATGCCACTGTCTTTGCCCTGCGAGCAAAGTGACACTCCAAGAGAGTTTGCTTGGGTATTAACTGCTTTACTTTGAAACCTAGTAATTCTGTTGACTCTGAAAGACATCATGGAGTTAAATGTAATACAGCATATATTTGGCACTAAGTAAAGCAAATACAACTTTGAAATCAGAAGATCTGCACCAAATGTGTATGTCATTTAATGGCCTGATGTTTAGGCTCGGAGTTGATACGCGCAAAGTCTACGTTGGTTTGGGATGAATTTCAGCTGGTGGGAATGGATTTGTTAAGTGAGAAGGCATCATTTTTACCTGGTTGCTTAGCTGGGTCTTTTAACTCTCCCAAACTGAAACTAGCAGTGTCCTCAGCCTTTTCTATTATTGTGAAGTTTTTATTGTTGTTGACCTTTTTCCAACAAAAAGCTACTCTGATTTCTTTTTATTTTGTATTCGTTGAGCATGGTTTTAGTTATGATTTGAAATACAGGTCTGTATTACTGCTTCTCTTAAACATGGTTCATTCTATATTAACCTAGTCCTTACACTTCATAAAATTTTAAAATACTGAGAGGCTGTACTTGAAGTGTTACTGAATTTGTCCTAATTTTCCCCCTACAAATTATATTAGAAATTCAGAATTGCACAGTCTCAAGGGCATGCTAGTTGTTACAGTAATCATAAAACATAGTCAACTGTTACCTGAAATGAAGTGAAATACTCCCCACTCTCTTCTTTAAGGGCTGCTTTTCTGCTATAAGTTGTTGTATCTTGTTATTCTAGAGATTCCTAAACAATTGCTCATCTCAATCAACTTTGAAACAGTTTGAATGTAGGTTTAAGAGACAAGCTAGACACATTCTTCATCATCCCAATAGTAATCATTACTTAATCTGGTTTATAGTAAAAAAGACTTTTAGAAGTTTTTATTATGTTGTTGTTCTCTCTGTTTGCAGACAAAGTATGGGCCAGAGAGTGACCTTAAAAAAGCAGTTTGTGTTCTTCTCCCAGACAGTATTTGGTTTAACTTGGCTACCCATGTTCAATACATATATTTCAATTAGAAATACTTTTCTTATTCCCTTGAGAAATGATACTAGCGTTTTTGATCAGTTTTTTAATCATGATTGTCAGTTCTATTTCTTAGTACTCAAAAAAAAAAAACAAACCCACAGAAGTTACACATCCTCTTTTGTTCGTTCTTTGCTTTTCTATTTTAAAGGCAATTAAAAGATATTTATTTTTTGCATCATATATGATGTTAACTGATAACTAAAAAAGGTGAAGTATCAGTTACTCCATAAAAACATATTGGAATTGTTGGAACTTTTTTTAATTAAAATACTTATACTGTGATATAGCCTGCTAAAAGAGATATGGCTGTCTTCAGTTGGTGTAAGTTCTCCTTCCCATACTGCCAGTCAGCCGTAATCTTCCTCAGAGTCTCAAAGGAAAGATGCAAAGGCTTAACAAAAAAGGCCTGTTAAGTGAAGGAAAATTAGAGTATGATGCTACTTTTTCTAGGATTTCAAAGATTCATTTAGAGGCTGATAGCTGAGTACCTAATCCACGGTCACAAGGATTAATGAATGTGTTGGAAATAAGAATTGGAAGTCCTGGACCTTCGGCCTAAGCAAAAGATCCCGTTAGGATTTCCGCAAAGGGAAATTTTCTTGTTATGTGATGGAACAGGTAGCTTACCTGAGAGAGATTTTCCATTGTACCTTGCAAGGCTTCTCTTGTGAGTTCTAGAAGCAGAACAGTTTGCCTTTCTGTCTTCTACAAGTCATTGAAGCAGGCCTGCGTTTGTGTGTGTACGCATAAATATGTGTGGCAATATGTGGGTGTGCTTGGGTGTGCATGTGTCTATATAAGTGTGTATATCTACATACATAAAAAGGAGCGTGCAAAAACAACGAACTTAAAGAAAGCTGGGAAGTATCAGTTTGAGACTATCACACGAGAGCTTGCTGCCATGGATTTAATTTTGAAGGGAATAACCAAAAAGAGCTATGGAAGAATCGAGCAAGAAAGGCAACATGGTGGCCTTCTAAGAGGCATCCTGAAAAACGGTATGCCTGGGTTCTCGGCTCCATCTTTTACTACATGGTTAGTTTGACAAAGATCAACACACCGATCAGTTAAAGGTCTCCTGCAGAAGAGAACAGAGTATGATATCATTTATTACAGGCTGACACAGGCAGTCTGAGGATAGGCAGTGAGCATGAAGTTACTTCATCTCCAGGAAAGCAAGGTCATCACCAGCTAAGTCATGTCCTCATAGTCTCTCGAGGGGAATACAGTGTAGGTGTTTTAAATCCATTCTTTTCAATGCTGCCTACTTTTAGGTGAATATATCGCTGCTGTGTTTTGAAAGTGTGACATAACCGTTTTGTGTTACGTCAGCTGTGCTTACATGTAAGAGACTTGTCATAAGTGAACAATTCTGCAGGCACTAAGTCTTACGGGTCAGGAAATTCCATGGGTGCGACGCTTCAACGTGATTATCTACCCAGTGGATTTAGCCCAGAAAGGGCAGGAATGGTTGGAGGAGCTGGGGAGGATGAAGAAGTCACTCCAAAGAAAAAGGCACTCAGTGAAGGGATTGGAAGATATCTGCAAAAACTTCCCCAAGACTGCAGCAAGACTTTGTCTTTGAACCCCTTTGTGGTGCCTTCTGTAGTGTCGCCCTGTGACCTTACCGTTCCTTAGAAGAGAGCTGAAGGAATAAATGAATATAACCATTAGCCTGTGGTTCCACAACAGCTAAGCCCATCTAAATGCTGATCTGCCACGTTAATCTTCTGCCAGTTCGTTATGTTAAAATGGTTTCAAGTAGAGGAAGACAAGCCAGGGAGAAGTGGAAGCCCTGCCTCTGCCAGTGCCCGCCAAGGGCAGCGGGAGTTCTGAGCTACCAGCTCCAGCGTTTGCACTGGAACTGCAAAATTAACTTTGCTTCAACAGGAGCTGACTGTCGTCTCACAACTCTAAGTATGTACAAAAGAGTATCTGCGGGTGGGCAGACCTTTGAAAGATGGTAAAGCTGAAGGTTGGTTTTCATTCCACTGAGAACAGGGACCCCTGCTTACAAGAGAGTATGAAACTTGGCAGTACTTAAGATGTTGGCTGCAAGAGACATGAGTAGTTGCTTCAAAATAAATAACCCTGCAAGACAAATGCCCTTACTCTTCAAGTACACGTGCATGTGCGTACATGTATCTTCAAGTGTAGGAATAGTTCTTTTGAGATATAAATAAAGAGTACTCACATGTATAAAGCTAACCAAGCTTGAAAGTGTTTTCAACGGTAGGGCCTAAAAATGCTTGTGAAATTTATTGTTGAGGCTGTTGATTGTACAGTTTGAGTACAGCTTTAAAAGGAAAGAGAAAAGAATATGTATTTCTAGCAGTTTCTTAAATAGTCTAAGTGACAACATGAAATTTTGGACTGTTCTGCACCTTCTAAAATCAAAGGATGCTGTTATCAATGAAGGAAGGTGAAGTGCAATGTATTTTGTCTGATAATTGGTTACAGCGGAACAATTATATTTCAGAGTGTTCATACATAAATTCTATTTATTGGATCAGCATAAATTAGCTGATCTAGTGGTATACATGTTGAAGAGGAAGTGCTAATGATATGATACAGCAGAAAAATCGTGCGGTGTCATAGGATGCCCACTGTGATAAGCATTAAAATTTTATGTACTACTTCATTCTGAACCATTTTTGGAAAGGTTTTTTAATTTATCTATTTTTCACAGAAAGCGAGTTGTACACACTAGTAAGATCCTTTTCTGATTCAGTGGGAAAGCACCCCTTGCCTCCTTTTTCTACCATTAAAGTTCACTACTGAATGAATCAACTGAAAGGGAAACTGCTATCCTTAATGTTTTTAAGAAGTGGTGTCTCTTTTTGGAAGTAGCATTTGTCAGAGAACCTTCTCTGCTGATTCTCTAAGCAAAAAATCCAAAATGAGCTTTGACTAAGAATTCTCGGCAGAATCATAAATATGTGATTATCTAAGCAGCTGGGCTCTTTAGCCCCTGGCAGGTGCCCAGTGCAGTGCAATCACAGGGCCAG